TTAGGATTCAGGAGGGTCCTTGTGAAATTCTGCCCTTCCTATGAGGTTACCTTTCACAATATTGCTGAGATCCAGGGAGTATATTAAAAAGCATTCACAGTTCTCTATTTAATTTTACTCTGAATATTTCCTTTCTAGCAAAAGGTATCTGAGCCTTGGTCTTTTGACTCATAGCTGAAATGAGCATTACTGATGATTCATGCTTCGAATGTTGTTTAATTCATAATGGAGTTTTAAGATTAGCAAAAATGCTGCTCATAATGTCATTTCTTTTAAAATTCCTGACATTCCTTGGTCTATAGATGTGTTAGGTCACCAAAGTGAAGAATTATCCATCATGGAGTTTGCATGCAAATGTTTATCTTGACACCATAAAGCAGTTATATGTTCTACAGCTCCACACTTCAATAGGACAGGACGACAGTCTCTTGCAAGTGCCTTTGTCTCCTCCCGACTGTTTCAGCAGATAGATGGGGACAGGTGCAGGCAGCTCCTGCTTCCCTCCTTGCCAATTGGTTCTGGTCTCTTGTCATCACAGACCCAAGATTGTCAGAGAAAGATCAAATGTCCTTTAGTAACAGGTACTCAATCACTCATTTCCCACAAAGTTGAGAAAGACTGTAAAATACCTTTGGAGGCCTGCCAGCATCACTGAAGCCACTTGCAGTCTGGAGAGCGGCCATAGTTCTTTAACACCGATGATGTAAATAGGGGGAATTCATCAAGCTAATATGAAACACAGCCTTCATCATTTAAAAATAAATAAATAAAGTGGTTGCACCAGAAATCCCGAAGTCCATATCTCAAACAGTATGACGTTTCCAAATGCTGTCTATAATTTAAGAAACTGAGTTCTGGCAAGAAGGAAAACATCTGTCGTAGTAAAGATTAGATTCTGACTGACAAAATGGTGCTATTTGTTTTGAAAGGCAATTAAGACATTGTTCCCAGTGACAGGAAAATTTAGAGATTATTTACATTGAGTTATAGATTACCTATCAGAAGAATTCAATTAATGATAAGTATACTCCAAAGGGAAGCACTTCAAAGGCTCTTAGAGGCTGGGGCTCCTTGTAACTAATTTCTCCTTCGGATTACTTGCTGACTGGAGTCAATAACAGTATCTGCTACAGATAACTAATCAACGCCTTAATTTTTCTGATATTGTTGGGTTGTGGTTTTTTGGCATTTGCCTTGATTTTTTTTCTTACATGCATTTATATTTGTCATATGTATGGAGGTCAGAGGTCAACTTGCAGGAATCAGGCCTCTCTTCCATCATGTGTGCTCTGGACATCTGTCTCAGGTCATCAGGCCCTGTGGCAAGCACCTGTACCTACTAGGCTGTCTTGCCAGATAAGGCTCTACCTATCTTAATTTTTGACCAAGCTAAGGGAAGTACTCATTCATTAAATGAGCAAATTCTTAGTTTAACCAACTGACGTGGAGAGACCTGGGAAAAAACTGCTTTTCTATGCAAAGACCTGAGATAGAGCGTTCTGCTATTCTCACAATATTGTTAAAAAAGAAAGAGACCCTGGGTAAAGGTACCTAGAAAGAAAGCACCAAGTTCAGTCCCTGGGTAGAAGGAGAAATTCAGTAACATGGCCAGCCTGGGATAAATAAAATCCTGGCAGGGCAGGTATATCTTCAGGACTTTTGTAGTGGCAAGAGCCAAAATGTAAATAAATTAATATGGTGGCTCATGGCTATAAAGTCAACACCTGGGAAAGATGAAGCAAGAAGATCCTGAAAAGGTTCAAGGCCAACCTGGTCTCGACCGTGAGTTCCAAGCCAGCCAGGGCTATATAGAGACCCTGCCCCCCAAAAGCTAAACAGACACAGCAATATAAAACCCACCTTATAGAAAAACTTAAATAAATGCAGGGCCATATTTCCACAGTTCTGGATTATAATCTCCATTTGTTTGTAGTCTTGTTACATTTTAATGAATCCTAAGCTAATTTCAATGTGTTTAAGTAAGCTAAAATTTATTGACAGCAATTTATTGACATATTTTTGGAAAGAGTTGGGAGTGGTAAGAGGTTTTTCATATTAAGTATGGCTGTATTATGGTTCTTTAAATTTTGTTCAAACTCCACATTTCCCATTACAAATGAAAATCAATGTTAAAAAATAGAGATCTGTGTAATGGCTGTCACAACAGATTTTGATGAAATGCATCTTCAATTGTTTAGCAAGAGATATTAGGTATATGTTACGTGTATTCTACCTTTTGTACTAAACTTATTCTTTCTTATAAGCCTGGTGTTATCTTGTTAAAAAACCATTCCTACCTATTCCTTAACTCTTATAGGTTACACTAGCAAAGGACTAAAATTGTCAACTAAGCACGTGTTTTAACCTTTTCAGATCATTCAGACACGTCATTCACCACCCAACATTCAACAAACGCTGCTTTCACAGACTCAAATTTACTATGCAATTATGCAACCTGTCTTTTTATTCCTAAGGGGGCAGAAGACACCTACAACGAGGCCGGGCAGCATTTGATGCGTTTGTTATGTGCTAGCATGATGGTTAGCGCTCCTTATAGCTAAATTTTCACATGCACCAATAACGGGAGTTGAATTATACCATTGTCTGTGGATACTCTACAACATTTACAGTCAAAAGGAGGTAGATCCCTCTTTTATGTTCTTCCTAGCCCTTTGATTTGAATTCTGTTTATTTTTTTAGGCTGGTAAAAGCAACACTTTAATTGAAAATTCTCTTTGTAAAACCACTTCTTTCTTTTGTTAAACAGTCTAGTATGTGCTTCTTTCTTATCCTCACCCTCTGGTCTTAGGGGCAGAATAAGGATGCTTTCGTTCCAGGGAACACTGGTCAGGATGCCAGCCTTGCCTGAGCATCCGGGAACATGCCAGTGTAGGATTCCCTCCCTCAGCTTCCACGCGGGATCCAAACACTGAGGGTTACACCCATCTCCATCATGGAGAAGACCACCAGGAGATCCTAAAAAGACACATCACGGAGGATCAGGTCTCCATTGTCACGCTCCTATCCAGAAGGAAAGTCTCAATAAACACACCCTAAGAGGGGTCACCCATAGCACCACAGAGAAGGGAACGCCCCTGCCAGTCCTGGGCCTGATGGCAGCAAGGACCCAGTCGGCACGCCCTGTCGGGACACGCCCTACCACGCCTCGCCACGCCCCTCCAGACCATCGTCTAGTCCTTGGCTAGAGGGTCAGCGCACGCGCGTCTGCACTCACAGCCACAGCTTGGTGGCTACTGTCCTCTGCGCTCGCAGGCAAAGCGCTCGTGGCGCAACTGTGCTCCATGGTGGGGGAGCTGAGATGCTACAAGCCAGCGTGAAAGAGGCACGAATGAGCGAGCATGAGCTGGCTGGATCAAGAAATGTCCCATCTCTTCCCCATTCTATGCCCTCAGAAATTGCCGGACAGCTAGGGACAGTATCAGGGCGGGGTCTCTCCCAGCGGGAGGCGAGCGAGACCGTTAAGCTAGAACACCCGGAGACTGTCTTGGCAGCTCGGGCGCCACCCGCGCCGCAATAAAAGCCTCTCGCGGCTTCCCGCCCAGCCAGCCTCGCTCTGATTGGTCGCGGACCGGAGTTGGCTGGAGGCGGTGGCCCAGCTCTGCTCTCCAGTTGCCCACGGAGGGAGGGGGCGCTGGGTGCTCCCGGGGCCGCCCTGTGCACTCCCCACTCAGGGCTCAGCGAGCCAGGACAGGTACAGCCACATTTGGCAGAAATGACAGCCACGCGCAGTCGGTCCCCTATGCCTAGCCTGCTTTCTGCCGGTGCTTGGCAGCACACGCCCCCCGCCCCAGCTGTCCGCCCATCCCACCCAGCTCTCTGCGCGGCCCCAGAGCCCGTTTCTTTCCCCCTCCCAGTCCATGGGGACGCCAAGGCGCAAATCCTTGGGTGGTGTGGGGATAGCAGCTGGAGAGGAGAGGGTGGGCACACTGAAGAATTTTCCAGGGAAGCCGAGATGGAAATAGCCAAAATGCAATTCGCCCCTCGCCACCTCCGGGATGCTGAGGATCTCTGGGCGGCGGCACAGCCCCCGCCACCCGCGACAGCATTGCTATAGTCTTTCTCCCGAGCGCCCCATTGTTCACACTTTGCCAGGATCAGGAACATGCCCAGAGAAAGGAGACTGGGGCGAGGTGTCTCGGGCAGTTGGCTACCTGCCATTCTTCGCTGGCACCGTGCAACCCTGGGCTCGCGGTGCGTGTAAAGGCACACGCGCGCACACGCGCGCTCGCGCGCGCACACACACACTCTAGGCAGCCCGGATCACGCCCTCCTCGCCCTCCGCCCCTCTGCACTTCCTCCTGTCAAAACGCGGCGCTGGACCCTCCCATCCCTCCGTGCTCCCGGCCGAGGGCAGGCTTTGCAACTACCCAGCAATTTGGCAAATGAAAAACTAACGTCATTTGCACGGGGGTGCAAGAACGACCACACGGCCCTGCGGTGCTGCTGAGGGTTGCCCCATTTTGCAAACCGTTATTCGGGGCGGGGAAGAAGGGGGAGTGCACGAAGGCGGCGGCGTGCCCCACTGTATCACACCCCGGGACATAACGATGGGGGGAAGCTGCCCCAGCCTTATTGTTCACTCTTCCCGAAGCTTGACAAGCCCCTCTTGGTGGAAGACGAACCCGGGGGCGACACCACCCGAGCCGCGCATCCCCACCGCCCGCCTTCGGGGAAGGCAAAGCAGCGCTCCCCATCACCGCAGCATCCCGGTCCCATACCCCTGTCCCACCTCCGCGGGCACACAAGTGGGAAGGGCGTGCGCGGCCGCCACCGAGCGGGAGGCAGCCGTCCCGGAGGGCACGGGTTTGGCTGGACAGCAAGGACGATGAGACGCGCTCCCTTCTCAGCTCAGTGGAAATGCTAGGTCTTACACACAAATCCCCCCAAAAGAACCGTGCTCCTCGGGGAGAAGGAGGAAGGACAGGGGTAAGCAGACAATTAGCAAGCCCTATGTAGAATTTAAAAAAATAAAAACGTACCTGCGGTTCCCAGGAAAAACAAAGTCCAGATGAGATCCGTAGTTCGCAGCATTGTAAACTGCCGGCTGGGAGGGATGTTCTGGCCGCGGTAAATTCTGTGCCTTCCCCTTGCTAGCGACTGTGGACGGCGGCGGAGCAACGGACCGAGGAGCAGACAATTGCCAGGCTGGGTATGATTATTTTTGCAGAATTGTTTCCTGCCAGCCACTGCCGAGCTGCGTTCACGCGCTGAGCGGAGAATGAGTGACAGTCCCAGCCTCAGCACCCTCGCAACTCGGAGATCCCTGCGCTGGTCCGGGTTGGCTTTGATGGAACTGGGGATGCGAGCGACGGGCGGGGGGCGGAGGTGAGAACCTCACTGTGTCCTTCCACCACGCCGACCACAAATAGTTCCTCACATCCAGGAGGTAAGAGACAGGGGAGGCAGATGCAGCCGCCTGCAAAACACGGCCTGGAGTCAGCGAGGGAGCCGGGCTCTTTCACGCGCAGCCTTCCAGGATGAGCTGGGATTTCTTTTCACCCTTTTCCTTCATTCATGCCTGCGCATATCCTTCTGCCATCCAGCGTTCCTTAATCAGAAATTTGAACATTTTAATAATTACTAAGAGAAAAAAGAAAAGAAAAGAATTTTTGATTGCGTTAGATTTTCAAAGTTGTGTAATCCCTTCGTTTAGTTACTAAAAGTCCTTGCAATAGGAAGCATATGGCTTCATTTTTTTGTGTGTGAAGGAAATTGGAAATTTGGAGAGAGATGAGTGTGCAGGGGATTGTTTTGCTGTTTGTTTTCTCTTGGCTATGAAGTTTACCTTCCCACAGAGGGAGCAACTCACAGTAGCATATCTCAGATCTTAAAAGTGGGAGCGGGGAAGCCAGTCAGAAGAAAACGCAGAGACATTCAGAAATAATATCCAAAAATAACCAGAAACTGTTTACAAGTATTGGAATCCCGCCCCCTCTCTCCCTCTTTCTCTCTGACTCTTCTGGAGGTATTAAGGCATAGGAGCAACAGTAAGTGTTCTCCTTCAACAGGGCACAACCCCATTCTTAAAGCTATGAAAATGAAGTATGGCTGATATACCAACGCAAAGACTTCCATTAGTCATACAGCCTTGTTTGTTGGGGGGGGGGCGCGGGGAGAGTGAAATCCTTACACATTGGCACCTGAACAGAACTAGAGTTGCACAAGAAATACAGAGAGTGTTCTGGAAGTGTCTTGATTTAAGTTAGCCTTGCACAGCAAATGCCTCCAACAGAGGAAAAGACCTAATTCACCCATACACTCAAGCCCTGCCATATGCTTTAAAGGGCGGGCTCTTTGGTGCTATAGCAGTCAGAAAAACTACCTTCTGCTGGCTGACCAGTCATCCTCCAGCTGTCTGCTCCTCCTCTATAATGAACCCAGTAAACTAAACGACATGCTGGGGTTTCCAAAGACCCATGGGAAGTCCTATTTTTCACCCTAGAAACCTTTTATATTCACTTTTGTAATATTTACTTTATACTGATCATAAATAATTCAAAAATACAGAAAAGTATAAAGGTTTAAAGAATATCTCAATGCCCCCACAGATTTTATAGCTATCCTCAATGTTTCTAAGTCTTCTAATAATGTGTGTGTGTGTGTGTGTGTGTGTGTGTGTGTGTGTGTGTAGATGTACATGTGTGTGAAGCATATGTGTTAGTAGGTATATGTGTGTAGATGTCAGAAGATAACTTTGGGTGTTATCACTGTCCACCTTTCTTTTTCTGAGAAGTATCTCTCACCATCCTGGAGCTCTCATCTAGTAGCCTAGGCTTGCTGGGTAGTGACCTCTTTGGATCTACCTACCTCTGCCTCCCAAGATCTGAGATTACAAGCATACTGCCACACCTAACTTAAGCAAACAAACAACAAAACTGGCTTCTGGAGATGAAGCTCAGGCACTCCAGCTTACAAGACAAGCAATTTAGAGACTGAACTATCTCCCTAAATCTGCATTCAATTTTTATAATTAGCACATTTTACTAGCAATCTGAAGCCTGCTGGTATTTCCTAATGTCATATAAGCATTTCCCTGCAGCCATGAGAAAAGTTCTCTAAATAGCTCTATAATATTTCTTCAGTGGATGTCTCCATGGCATTTCTCCCAACCCTAGATATTTAAATTTCTTTCTGAGTCTGATAATATAAATAATACTTTTATGAGCACCAATTCAAGTATTTGTTGGGTAGCCATTGTACTTAGCCCTGTGTTTGACGTCATGGATATACATCTACTACAGTATGATCTGGAATGTTCCTCCAAGGCCGAGAAAATCAAGTCTTGGCCCCCATGGTGGCTCAACTAGGGCATGAGAGGCCATTCTGTGGTGGGGATGAGAAAAAGGCTAGCTCACTTGAGGTTGTACCTTCAGGGGGATATTGAGAACGTTGTCCCTCTCCTCTCTCTGGTACTTTCTGCTGACTCGGGTTTTTCTTCCTCAGATTCCTTACTATGATATGTTTCTTAGCACTAGGCCCAATGGCAGCAAGATGAAGCTGCCAGAGCCCGAGATCTCTGAAGCCATGAGCTAATATGCACCTTTCCTCCCCCTAGGCTGTTTGTGCCAGATGTGTATCACTGAGACAGAAATCTGACTGATGTTATGCACATTTATAGACTCTTCTGCTTGCTGTCTTTGGTTTCGAATTGTCTTTTGCTGGGGTGTACAATGACCACATTATACCCTATAACTTTATGTGGGTGACAATATCAGACTTTTTTTCTAATGAAGTTTTCAGTGCACAGAAGAATAAAGTGAGTAGGCTGATGGTGGAGAGGAGTCAAGGTTGGTGCACCCAAAATAAATTTTTTCTAATTTTACCACCCAGAGTGAGAGACACACCCATCCCTGCAAACTTTACTTCTTATAGCCCATGTCAGTAGAATTAAAAGATTCCTCGCTACTTTTCTTCCCAAATGTCCCTATTTTTAGCCTTTAGATGTAGACAAGTGTGGAAATCCTATCTCACTTCAGAATGAATAGACATTTTTTTCCCTTTCTGTCTCTCTCCAGCCCCTCCCATTGCTATGTAGCTGTTCTCTATTGTCATGACTCATTCTAGAATTCTGTCCCAGCTACTCCAGTCCACAATCCTAGGATCTCTCCAATGTTTCTTTAACAGGATGGGTCACTGGTCCCCATTTCTACAGTTCTCTTCTTCTGTGTTCTTTTTCCATGCGCTGCTCATGACCATTTTTCTTAAATTTGATAAAGTCACGGCTGTCTGTATACCTCTGGGGAGAGAGAGAGAGAGAGGGAGAGAGAGAGAGAGAGAGAGAGAGAGAGAGAGAGAGAGA